GGCATAAAGAATAGAAAATTTTGGTGAAGCTGGTGTGTGTCAGTAGTAAGTACAGGGGTCTCCTGCTGCAAAAGAAAAGGTGACCTAACCCAGTGTCAGGGAATAAGAAGACTTGAAGAATGAGTAGAAATTGGCTTAGTGATTCTAGACGGAGGATCAAAAAGATCAAAGGCTATGATGCATTAAAAAGTGTGGCATACTCAGAGAACTACAAGTGGGGCGGTGCCATTGGAAGGAGAGTGTAAGGAGGGAGTGAGCCAACCGGAAAATAAAGAGAGAAGCAGGGTTTCATTGAAGATAGGTCTCATGTGCCAATACCAGAGAGTAGTCTGTATTTTAGAAATAAAGTTGGCCACTGCAGGCAAAGTTCAGTGTGTGTGTGTGTGTGTGTGTGTGTGTGTGTGTTCATAATTAAGTAGATTATCGTATGTTAAATATATAGAAAATTTTCACGAAGACTCAGATTAAGGATTCTCTTGAAAAATCAAGAATTAATATATACATCTACTATGTACCTGCAAAAACTTTAAAAAAAAAAGCATAGTTTTCTTAAACCTTGAAAAAACAGAAAAAGAAAAACCAGAAATTCACACTGGATTGGTGTTGCCTTAAACCTGAGAAGTTTGCTTTTAGTGGAAGAAAAGCCACTTTTATGGGTCACCGTACACTTCACTTACTTTACTCGTTTATATAACCGCCAGGCCCCTGGGCATTTGAGTCTGCAAGCCTCCTGAGGAGGAATGATAACATTAACTTTGCTGTGTTAGTCTGCCTGCATACTGAAGAGGAGGTTGAGGATATCAAGACTGGAATCAGAGGCACAATTTAGGAAATTCCTTCAAAGTAATGAGGATCAGAGATTCTGCTGGGCAATAGAGAAAAGCGACGGAAGTGAGCATTCCATTGTTAGGGGATCAGTTAGACAATAAAGAAAAGGTAGAGGGAAGAATAAAGAATAATATTTTCGTTTTCCAGGTAATTCAATGTGAGAGTCATCTAAGTTTAAGATAGTCAAGAATCCGACACAGAAAGAATTAAACCTGCAAATAAGTTTTGCTAGAAATGCCTGGGAAACATTGGAACAGGGTTTAAAAGAAAGTGCAAGGAGCTTTCAGATAGAAATACAGGCCTGACCCCAAAACCTATAATCCAATAAAAAATTAAAAAAAAAAAAAAAAAAAAGAAAAGTTTTAAGTTGTTAGCCAATCGGGTTTTCATTTAGATTATGAGGTCTGGCTCCAACCAGTGGAGATCAAACACAGCAGTAAGGACAACCCCAAATGCATAAGGGATAAATATGTCTGATTTTCCTTTGTTTGTTGTACTCTTGTGGGAAGATGGCTAGCGAGGGCACCCTTCCTGCAGTGTAGGAAGTAAAAAAGTAAAAATTGCTTTGCTGAGAGATCCTTTGTCTCAGTGCTAATAAAAAAAAAAAAAAAAAAAAAGAAATACAGGCCTGACATCTATTAAAGGGGAGAGTGTAGGAAGGAAAATCGAATAGTATGGAGCTCAGACTGCACTGTAAACCTGAGCAAGCTTCAGTGAGGATGATTAGAACATCAGATACTGGTAGCTCAAGCCTGTAATCCCAGCACTTTGGGAGGCCGAGGTGGTGTAATGGAACAGAAGGAATTAATTAAGTTTACAAGTCATGGACAGACTTTATGTTGTCTTCATTTCCTTATCATTGGGAGTATTCCGAGCTCAGAATTTTCCCAATGCAAAAAAAGGCTCTGAAGAGCCAGACCTGGGAACCTGGCCAGTTCCCTGATCCAGTTTTTGGTAAACACCTCAAGGATGTTAGTTACATGATGAAGACATGGACAGTGTCCTGACTTGACCCTTCTTTGTTTTAAAAAATATAAAAGATTGTTTAGCAGAAGCCGAACAGAGCTTCGATGGTGATTTGGTCTGGACTTGCGAAAACCCGTGCTGCTTTATTGCCGGTGTTGAAGTTTGTGAGCGTCTCTAGGTATCCTTGTAAATAAATTCTTTTTCTTTCTTTGTAAATAAACTCTTTTTCTCTATATACCTCGGCTGGTGTTTTTCTTCCCACGAATCTGCCTGAAAAGATTAGAAAATCCAAGCTTGGTACTGAGCAGTGCTCACACAGGTGGGTGGATCACGAGGTCAAGAGATCGAGACCATCCTGGTCAACATGGTGAGACCCCGTCTCTACTAAAAATACAAAAATTAGCTGGGCATGCTGGTGTGTGCCTGTAATCCCAGCTACTCGGGAGGCTGAGGCAGGAGAATTGGCTGAACCCAGGAGGCGGAGGTTGCGGTGAGCCGAGATTGCGCCATTGCACTCCAGCCTGGGTAACAAAAAAGCTCCATTAAAAAAAAGAAGAAGAACATCAGATACAAGATTGCTTGTTAAATGGATTTAACACTTGAGAAGAAATGGTCTGGCCCTACTGCTTCCATCATACTTAGTCCCTGACTGACGAAAGTAGAGCATGACCTGCTAAAATATACTGGAAATTTTGAAAATATAGCAGCTCAAAGTTGTCAGCTAGCTGCTTTCTTGCAATAAGCTCTCTTGAAAGGAGATCTGAGCAGTATACTCATATAGCTGACAGGTGTCATTAATAGGAGTATTAGACTTATGTAATAAGAGAAAAGAACTAAAAATGAGAAAAATAAACTGGTACAGTTAGAAAGAAACTGATGTTTCTCTAATAAGGTTTTTAGAACAATCTGCCTTTGACATATTAATTACGTTAAAAGAGGTTGTGGCAGAGATGATATGAATTCCAGAAATTTCCATTTTTATTTAGGAGCATTGTCAGACTGCTTTATGTTCTCTTGGAGTTAAGTACAGCAATGTGGATGAGTTCTAGCCAATGGAACCAGAGAAGAAATAGTATGTACCACCTAGAAACAGAGCTCATAAAATCCCCCAATATGATCCTTGCCTTCATTTTCCTGGCTGGAAGTAGAGGATTTCAAGGCCTTAGGCTTCAAGAGAAAGTATAGACTCCTCATTATTGCAAGGAAGAGCACCTGGCAAACACCTCCTTTGGGTTATTCTGTGTTAAAAAACACATTTTTATTATTCGAAGTTGACAGTATTTGGGGACTGAATTATGTAGCCAGCATTTACCTAAGAGGTATTCTAAGAAAAATACACGTCTATATAGGAAACAAACAAATATTCATAAGATAGATCTTTACATACTTCCAGAGACATCTTTCCATATACATTTTTACCCTTGAATTCTTTTTCCTAAAGCTTCAGATTCTCATCCCCAATACTTACTTAGTAAAGTGTGACATACAGTATATATTTGACAAACCCGTGATGGTAAGCTGACCCCTCCTTATTCTCCAGTTTGACTAATGGTGCCATCATTTCCACAGACACTCAGGACCTAAATTTTTGGTTTACTTGATTTCTATCTTTCAAAGAATTCTCAGAACAAATTGGTAAATGCCGTTAATCCTCTTTCTTTTACGTATTTTTGTATGCTTTTAATTCTTCACATTACCACCATCTGGGGTAGATGTATAGCATCATGCATAGAATACCAAGATAGATTTCTAACATCACATGGTCTACTTGACCTAGTCTCCCCCAAGTCACTCGTGCAAATTGTCATTGTCACTGTCCCCAGAGCATCGTGGAGATTATAGTAATTAACCCATGATAGCAAGAGCACAGAACAGGATGATTCCAGTTTGAAATATTTATCTACACACTGGGATAATCTTGGGAGGGTGACTTGGACATTCTGAGCCCAGATTCCCTTCTCACATAAAAGTAGCTAATCTCTATTCACAGAAATGTTGCAAAAAATTTAATGATGTAAGTTGCACATGATGATAGGCAAACAGCTGGCTCATGATAATGCCTACTATGTACTTACTGAATTAACAAATATATTCTTTACCTCTTCTCTTCCCCTTAACAAGTCTCCTGCTTACAAAGCATTCTCTACTCCACTCAACCTGACCAAATACGACTTCTCCTTCAAGGCCAGCACAAATCAGACCTGTTTTTTAAATCTCTTTCTAAGCACTTCCTTCCCTATGGGAATATTGATCATTATTTTATTTGCACATTTTAAAGTGAGCTTTTTTTCAATTTTCATATATAATCATTGTCTTTAAGTGGACTGCAATGACAAGGGACCTGTAGTATACAAAGTATCAGGTATTTTTGTTTAGCATGTGGTTTGAAGTTGTACTTTTTTTTTTTCTATTTTTACTTGCTCTGTTTGGCCTAGCCAGAATTCCTTTCTTCGTGTGTCATAAACAGTATTCTGACATTCTACTGAACATAAACTACTTTTACACCTCTCATACCTGAACAGTATCACTCTCATGTAACCCCACACACTATTGCCAAGAGCAAGAATAGGAGTCAGTACTTGCCAAACTAAGAAACTCATTCTCCAACCCAAATGATAGGGCTTGTGACCCAAGAAAGGCCTCAGGATCTCTGTTGGAACTAGAAAGATGGTAATTCTTTCATAGGAATTGCAATGTAGAATTAAAAATAGTAGTATTTTTCACTTTGTAGAAAGATATAGGCTTGCAAATTAACCCCGTTGGAAGAAAAATAGGGCCAAGGGAAGAAGACATAGAATGAGAGATTTACCCATGTTGACATTGTTTGAATTCCTGGTTCAATCTGTGTCTGATCTCTTAGCTAGGGAGATTATCCCTGGATAATTCTGTCACTTTTGCTAAACATTTTCTTTTTAAACATTAACTCAATTTATTTGTTTCCTGTTATTTGTAATCCAAAGAGGACTGCCTACTACAATTGCATTTATTACTTTGAAATAATATTTACTGATTCTTTTTCCAGCTTATTCATAATGAGATTTAGACCAAAAACATGTGGGTTACACACTGTAAATCCGTCTTCACTAATGGAGAATAAAAACCCAGAAGCGTATTTCTGTGACTTTATAAATTTCATTATTTTGCTATTTAAATAAGCACACATTTATAAATGGATTTTTAAAAAAACTTCAAAGACCACTTCTGTATTCCAATCTGTAAAAAATATTTTCATTATGTTTATTATAAAAATATAAACGTTTCCACTACAAATCATTTTACATTAGTAAGAGGCCATCTACATTGCACAATATAAACTGAGTCATATTTTGAAAAGACAAGTTTAAAGTAAACACATATTGTCCATCATATCACATTTATACATGGCTTGATTTATACTTAGCACAGCATAAACTGAGTTGCCAGAAATAAATAATATATGTAAATCATATGTAAGATACAAAACAGATCATATGGTACATAACATCCTGAAGGAGATGTGGCCTTATGTTTACTGAAAATCAATGCAGTTCCTGTACAAAGTGATGGCCTTAGCATTCTAGTACCTCTACTCCATGGTTAAGAATCGTACACTTATGTTTACATATATACAGGGTAAGAATTGTGTAGAATAAATTTTTAAGAGGTAAAGTAGAAAAATATTAATGAAATGAAGAACAGTATATGATGTGTACAACCTCTACTTTCAAATGGAAACCACAGCCAAAATAAGTGAAATAGATTCAACAATCCACAATTATTAGTTTATGAAATGCACAGGTTTTGTTGCGTATGCTCAGAATAGTACCTAAAAAAGTGAATGTTAGTCTGGGAAAAAATTAGATTGAAACCATATTTGGATCTCATCCTAACATTCCAAACACAAAATACTTGATTAAAAAAATGTTTTCTAGCTGCTGATAGCAGGTATAAGTAAAATTTTGATTAATTTTATAATCACACGTGTATTTTTTAAAATTTCATGCTCTTATATACCCAATACCTAACAGCCTGATTTGACTAAGAAATATTGCCAAGATTTGAGAAACAGTCTTATATCTGAAGGAGCACAATCTAAGTCTTATTACAATAAACCTACAACAGATTAGCACTTGTGAATTTTGATTTGTGACTGTAAGCAGTGTTTCATTAGCATTCCATTTTGCATAAGAACATTAAATTTGCAGCATTGTTTTATCCATTCCATTCTTGTGATATACACATTTCTTATATTCAAGTTCATATCAGCATTAGAAAGTATCAATACAGCTAAAATGTTGCTTCAGAATATACTAATAGCTAGGTACCCACCATGTACATCTTTTCAAATATTACTGAGCAAGCTCAAAGTTAGCCTTTATGTAACAGTAAGTCTAAATCCCTGTGATGAGAAATCGCTCTCCTGCCTGCACATTTCGAGGCATTTGCTAGATGACCGACTGTTCTAAAAATGTTACATCCAGTAAATTTGAGGAAGTTCAATGCTTCTAAGTTATATACCAAAACCGCATCATGTGCATTGAAGTGGAAGACTCTTAAAGACAATAATACCTGGTACTAATGGTCACAATATTTACTTAATTGACCTAAACTCCAGTGATACAGAGGAGTGGTTCTGTTATCATCATTCTCTATAAACAGTTGAGCAAGTTTAAGCAACAATAGTAAATGACTTTTCAAAGCCAGTGAGCAAGTGATTTTTTTTTTTTTTGACTCATGCATTGGCCTATAGGCTGTGCTGCCTGTTAATATAGCAATCTATATCAGATTTCAGTTCTTTCCAGTGTAGCTCTTCTCGGAAGCTCTAACACGGCTCCTTCACTAATGGAGGGAGTTAATGGTCTCTAAGCACCAGAGCAGGAAATGTATGCTATCTGGTTGAAAATCCATTGCATACAAGCTAGTATATTACACTAAATTTTGAGCATACAGTTTATAATAAATGGAGAGAAAAGAATGATTGGGATAACAGACTAGGACAGATGTTAGTGTATGACTGGGAAAAGAAGTTTCATTTTTAAAAATACATGTAAGTGGGTGGTTCAAAAAATCTGAAAGAAACCTATCATTATCTGTGTCAATTTAAACTGCTGACAATTTGAGAGAGCATTTGGCACTTGGCTGTAACAAATCCAAATTAAATCATCAAGACATAAATAGAAAACAATAAAAACAATCCAAAAGAAAATAAATATGTACTTTTTTCAAAAATTAAGACATTCTTTACATGATATACTTAAAGAAGCTAACAATTTAAAAGCATGTAGTACTTAGAACAACTACAAACATCATCTCTATATGCTTTAAACAGATAAAAGAGAAGAATGCGGTGATAAGGTAGTAAATATGGCCAGAGAGTCTGAGGTATCAATTCCTCCATTTTCCTTGCTTTAAAAGAAACAAAATCCCTGTTACAGATTTCCTCTGTCTATAAAAATATTACAAGTCTTTTCTTTTGCGGCTGTAACGAAACACAGCCACCACGTCCGTTTTGCTATTTCACTTGTTTGGCTTTCATGATAGCTTGTGATCCATGGCTATATGGTAGTTCTTCACCACTTTCCTCTGAAGAATTTCACTGAATCCATTAACTATTACTTAAAAAAGCAATTACAAAAAAATACCCCACCCACCCATCCACTAAATGATAGGGGAAAATAAAGAGTTTTTAAATTCCATTTTAAGGCATTTGTACTCATATTTGAGTGTCTTATTGGAGTTGGAACTTCACCAGCGTCTCCAGCATCATTGTCTGTCTGCAGGATGATGCTGCACCTTCCACAGTCACCATTTCCTTCCAGAAGCAGTGCTTCACACGGGAACTGGGCCATTCTTCGATTGTGTTTCTAGAGCTTTAATGCTACTGATGATCTTCTTCTGTGGCCCAACCACGGTGACACCAACCTTTTTCATGTCACTGCGAAAAAAGGAAAATATGAGAATTAGTTTCTTGGATGGTATGCAAGCAGGAGATTTTCAATGAGTGCAACTGCACAATGACATATTCTAGTACTGTGGACCTAATTTTCTAATATTTGCATCATCTGTGTTGTGTCCCAACTATTCCACGGTCTTGTAGAAAACTATATAGATGCCACAGTGGGTTGAATAGTGTTTCCTCAAAATCTTTGTCAGTCTCAAACCTCACAATGCGATTTTATTTGGATAGAGGGTCTTTGCAGATATAATTAAGGCACGGATTGGGAAAATATCTTACTGGATTAGGGTGGTACATAAATCCAGTGACAGTTTCCTTTTGAGAGAATAGGACACATAGAGCACAGAGAATCGAAGGCAATGTACAAATGGAGGCAGAGATTGGAGTTCTGTTGCCATAATCCGGAGAATACCAGGATCCACCAGAAGCTGGGATAGACGAGGAAGAATTCACCCTTAGAGACTGGAGCAATTGTGATACTGCCAACATAATGATTTCATACTTTCAGACTTCTGATGGCCAGAATTGCAAGAAAAAAACTTCTGTTGTTTAAGCGAATACATTTGTAGTAATTTCTTATAGAAGCCTTAGGAAATTAATAGCAATGATCATATATTCTTTCTGGGGCTTTATCTCTTTCCCTTGAATCTGGGCCAGCTCAGAGACTGCTTTGACTAACAGAATATGCCTGAATCAACATTGTTCCACTTTCTTCACTCGGGTCTTAAGAAACTATCAGCTTCTACTTATCACTTGAGACATCCTCACTGGGGCCCTAGACCTGCCATATAGAAAGTCTGACTACCTGATATTATTGCAGGGGAGAGGCCACATGGAAGCACTTTGGTCTACAATTCCAGGTGAGACCAACTGGGTAGCTAACTGAACAAGGAAGACATTGAAATGAAAGCATCTCCAGCCCTCCAGACAAGATCAGTTCATTTGTCAGCTGAGAGTTTCTGTCAACATCAACATCAGAGCACAAAGAATCACCCACCGTAGCTCTAGTCGAATTCATCACCCACAACTCTGTGATGTAATAAACACGTGAATGTTTTTGCCTTAAGTGCTGGGGGAGTCTGCTGTGCAGTCGTAGATAACTGGAATAATATCATTACAGTTCGCAGTTCTTTTAAAGTAGACAAAATGACAAAGACGTATCTCTATTTATGAAATATGTCATAATTGAAAGTTGGAAAGTAGGTATTAAAATACAGATTATAAAAACAAGGGATTTAATTTAGGGAAACAATATAGGTAATATGTGCAAACGGTTAATTATATATTCTTGTTTCAAGTAATTAGTTCATTCGCCTCTTTCATGATTGAGGGATGCTCACACATCCCCCTCTAATGAATAAATGAATGAATCCCCAACACTCCTATTTAATATTTTAAAACCTCTGTGTACTTGTATCTGCACTTTCTATTTTCTTTTCTTGTTTCATTTTCTTCCAAAGCATTTATTACCATCTAGCATATCGACTTTCTTTCTAATTTATTTTCCTTATTCCTTGTCCTGTCCCACAAGAAGGTAAATTCCATGTGAAAAGTGATTTTTTTCTTGTACTCTGTTTATCAACAACAACCTAAACAATGGCTGCCAGTTAGCGGGCTCAATACAAATTTACTGAATGTACAAAATATATTTTTTCTGGATAAAGTTGACTAGTGTGTAAAGTCCCATTTGGCAAGGAGAGCCAGGAAAATTGACAACGGCAAGGAAAAAGTACACATGTGAACACACACACACACACACATACAGAGGGTTTCTGAGGGTTTCTTTATGCTGAGCATAAAGAAAGAAAAATTAGGAATTCAACTATATAGAAATGGATTAATCGATTTCTTAAGAAACGGGTTCCAAGGCCATAAGGGTGTTCCAGAAGACAATAGGTCTTCTCATTTGAGAAGAAATGTACTTGTTATTTAAGCATCAGGCATTTAATTAACCAAGACGCTACTGAAATCCTACCATCTGCTGGGCAAGTTCCTGATGATCTGCAGGTTCCCTCCCTGCTGACAGTCAAAGGGCTGATCAACCCTCACTGGACAGCTTGGGTCTTGCCTTAGGTTCTATCTAATATACTTTTCCTCAGGAAGGCTAGTGGGGATGTATGGTAGTGTGAGGCTTGCCATGCTTAGCATAACTGTGAATGATGGAAGCCTTCACTTAGAGTGATGTATGCTGCTTTTGTTGATCCCTGCCTCTGAGAATGTGTGTTACAGGATTTTAATTAATCTATCTTTAAAATAAAGAATACAACTTTCTCCACTCATCCCCAAACTATACCAAAGCGACTTTATGAGTTCAGATCCAGAAAAAATAGATTCTCACTTTTTGTATTTCCTCCTTCATCTTTCTTCCAATACCATATCACATGTTTTATGCAAAGATGACTTTTTTCTCCTTTGTCTCTTCCCTTTCCCCTTCTTAAAATAATAGTCATGGAAAGTTTAAAAAAAAACGGACAAAACAGATATATTTCAATGCAGTAATTCCTGAACTCTTTGAGAAATTCAAGCATAGCTTGAGTATTGCACGATATGCTGTTCGGCCCTAATCTTCCTTCTGAACTGAAGCACTCATCACCAAGGCGCTGGAAAAAAAAAGTGATGCTGAATTCACAGACCCGTTTGGGACGTTCCTCATCACTTCTTTTTTTTTTTGAGACGGAGTTTCGCTCTTGTTACCCAGGCTGGAGTGCAATGGCGCGATCTCGGCTCACCGCAACCTCCGCCTCCTGGGTTCAGGCAATTCTCCTGCCTCAGCCTCCTGAGTAGCTGGGATTACAGGCGCGCACCACCATGCCCAGCTAATTTTTTTGTATTTTTAGTAGAGACAGGGTTTCACCATGTTGACCAGGATGGTCTCGATCTCTTGACCTCATGATCCACCCTCCTCGGCCTCCCAAATCCCGCCTCGGCTGGGATTACAGGCGTGAGCCTCATCACTTCTTTATAGATGCACCTCCTGAGTGTATTCTTCAATAAATGTTTTGCAAAAGCTGTTTTACATTCTGTGTCTGTGAACCCAACATAAGCAAATATATATATTATTTATATACATAAATATATATTCATATATGATATATAAAATATATATTTATATAATATATAACAAAATATATGAGTATGTACTTATATATATAAATATAATATATAATGTATATATTTATATATAAATATAATATATAAATTTATATATGTATATAATATATATAAATATAATATATAAATATATATATAAATAAATATAAATATAATATATAATGTATATATTTATATACATAAATATAATATATAAATTTATATATCTATGTAATATATATAAATATAATATATAATATATATTTATATGTGTAATACAAAACTTTTTTCTTAATGCAAAAGATTATATTGGATTTTTGAAAAGAGAACTAAAGTAACTATCCATTTGGGTTATTCCTTAGCTAGGGTTTTTAAACACACTCTAGTCTCTCTATTCTTCCACATGTCATCTGTCCACTACCTTGCCATATCCAAAATAATTCGGAGCATCCAGTTGCTGCTGTCTCAAAACACTGTGTGTGCTCATTTCATTTTGACTGTCCTATTCAGAAGAGCAGTGGAAAAGTTTAAGGCTAAAGAGAAGCTCCAGACTGAGACCAGAGGTTAATATGTTATCTGGTACTTCAAAGGCAGGGGGATAGGGGATGACACTGGGAAAATGGCATCCAAGGGTACAGGATAATGCCATGTAGCAATTAATCTGCTTCATATTCATTCCACACACTTAATTCTGTCTCTAGTTTCACAGTCACCGTCACTCTGCCCTTTCTCTTTCTCTCTTCCTTTCTTATTTTAACCTTGCTAAATCCATCTTAGGCTACGAAGTAATATTGTGAAATACGTATTTATTAAATAAAACCCCACGTGTTCTGGGCTTCATTTGAAAATTAGATAACTTGAATAGCTTGCATATCAATGAAACCTCTAACGAAAATAAATTAATGTGTATTTGAGAAATTTTATCGTTCTTTTCCTGTACTTTGGTAGCCTGAATAGGAAGGAAAAAAAAAAGAGAGATTCATCCTACGTATCTGTAGCTATTCTTGGAGAATCTCTACAGTTATCTGGTGAAGCGAGTCATTTCTGAATTGAGTCTGGATGGCACAAAAATAGAGACTGAAAGAAATCAAATTCAAACAATAAGCCCAAGACCCCAAAAGAAAGATAAAACACCTAGCCAAATATCTTTATAGCACTTATGGTGAAAATGTTGCCCTATTGTATTTGTCCAAATAATTAGTATATTAAAGATTTTTAATAAATTCTCATTTTGTAATATAAACTGAGAACATGATTGCATGACACTATGAAGACTCAAGGAAAATGCAGCTCTTGTCACAGAGCGCTAGGGCAATAGATGTTAACCCTATATTATCCCTACACTGAGGAGAGAGGACAGAAGAAGGAATGTTGTGGTGACTGCAACACGTATATGTCCAAGACCACCTGACTCAATGTGAAGGACAACCTGAAAAAGCTATTTTTCAAGAAAAGTCAGCTTTCGTCTTGAATGCATGTTCACAGATAGATCAAATAATAACAACAATTAAGTAAAAAGAGTCCAAGCTGCCAAAGAGTTTGATGTCCACCACGGTATTGTCGACACAAGTAATGTCGCTAACTTGGACGTATGACAAATGCTGTCATTTCACCTTTTCAAAGCAAATAGCTTTCTTATCGCATTTATAGCTTCTAATGGCTGACTATATTTAAACAGCAAACTAGCAGTTAATCTTATTAACAGTGTTCTCCCTCATACCTTTCAATATAGTTTTTCAATATCTAAAAGTCGAATTTTATTGAGAATAAACATTTCATTACTTTGCCTTTGAAAATCTGGCAATGGTGTGGAGATGTTCAGCTTCGTGTTTGCTTTTTGCTCTGCTTCTGTGCTCTCCAGCAGATGTTTCATATATCATAACCCTTTATATGACTAAAATAATAATATATCAAAATACATAAATACATGACTACATATTGAGACTGTATCTGATGAAAATAAGTACCATAGAAACCCAAAGTGTACTGTCAATTGGGTCAGAAGTGTATTCAAAAAACGCCACATTCCACTTTGAACGGGAACACCGATGCACGTTACGTTGACTAGAATAAGTGTATTTTTTTAGAGCAAGTCTTCTCCTTCAATAATAATAAACTCCTCCTCTAAGTCCTTCTGTGGCTTTATGTCTTTCTGATGGCAACGTTACACCATAAATCATAAATTTATTTATATGATTGTTGGACACTTGTAACTCTATTAATTACATGGCACATTTCTTTTTTGTTGTTAATCTGTAATTTTCACAGTGATGTTGAATGATTGACAGGGTGGCAATGAAAGCCTTTATATATTCAGAAACATTTAAATATTTAAATATTAGTGGGAGATGATAATACTAAAACTTGAGGGGACTAAAGTGTTTATTCAATTTAACAAACATCAAAGGAAGATGGACACAATGATGAACAGTTTCCCAATAGACCACGCAAGCTACAACGTTCTGGACAACTTTGGGTGTATCTATCCAGTTTGCACCTCTTTCCTTGGGACAATTCTCCATCTTATCTTCAGGAAAGGGCCCCTGGAGCCAAGTCCATACTACCCCATTCTACTTCCTTTGAAAATAAATGACTAGATACTAGCAAACATGCAACTTTGGACGTGCCAATGTACAAGTGGGACTGAGCCAGTCATACTTTCTGTACTGAGAACTTAGAATTAAGAGTTGGACCCTTATCAGCTGAATGGCGCTGTGAGGCTATGTGACAAGATCTGAGAAAGCCAGTATTTAGCTATGTGCATGAGAATCCAGAAAATGTCACTCTGCAGAAGAATAAAAATTATGTAGTCACATTAGGAAGTGAAGCAAATTGATTCTCAATTACAGAGAGAGGAAGAATGTGACTTCCAACTCTTAATTTATCAATTTTCAAACACCCTACTTTGTGAATGACTAAATTTTTTTGCCCATTCACTGGACTTACTTGATTCTTTAGACACCCCCTTTTCTTGAGTCCATATGTTTCTCATATCAAAAGATTCCTGTTACAAAAAGATTACTGTCCATAATATACAGCATATTATACTTGATTATTATTGGTTTTTAACACATAAAAATATCAATTAATATTAATATTGTGATGCATATTTTTTCTTTCTTATCTGGCAATAAGCCTTGAGGAAAGCCCAAAAGTCCTATCTTAAACCTAAACATAACTTCGTTTTCTAGCATAATATCCTTCCCCGAGCAGACAGTAATGACCAGATGATGTTATGTTTATCCAGCAGCTATGAAAACTACTTTTAGAGTTTAATATGTATCCCTGTACTCCAGATTATCCACTTCATTCTCAATTTTCCTTATACACAGATATTAAGCTTTAGTAAAAATAATGGACGAATCACAAAATGCAGAAATACACTAATCAATCTATGTACGCTTATGTTTTAAGTTAGGGACTTGGGTTTGCAGTGTTGGAATGAGTGTGAATCTGTTGATTGATCTGCAGGTCATATCTGGTCTATGTAAAGACATCTATCCTGGGCGCTGTTTTGAGGGAGGAAGACATATCAACATGTATCAATCCAGAAGCTGTGAGCCACAGGGAGACCCAGGGCCCTGATTAGCAGCTCCAGGAAATACTCAGTACCTCAGATCGACCACTAATATTTATAACATGTCAAGCCAAGACATGAATATTGAGCAGAATATTCAAAAGTTCAAAAGAATCATTCAATCTTTTTAAGGGTTTTTTTCTTACTCTGTGGAAATCTTGGCTATTGTGTCACAAGAACTGTACTCCACGCCTGTGAAGATTTCCTTGCAGTGTGCTGTCCGGACGCCATTAAGCCAGTCACCTGCTGTGCGGAAGGTAGTGATATCGACATTGCTTTGGTCCAGAAGAAGGTTTGATGGCCTGCAAGAAAAGAAAACACCAAAGGGAGACAAATCAGGAGTCTGCAGAGTGACTGTGTGTCAAAATTTGACACTAACATCAGCAGGAACCTCCAGACTTCATATGGTGTTCCTGTTCATTTGTGGAATTTATCTGCCATGAAGGCTTCATCTGTTCGAGCTGGCAGCTTGGAGGAACACTGTGTAATCATCTTGTCTAAGTTCTCCCCTCTCCGTCCACAAGTGCTTTTCAATCACTGAAACTTTGCCAGTGAAAGAGATAAATACATCCATACATATTTTATTGACATTTAATTTGTTTAGTCATTAGCAAAATGGCAGTAATTTAGGACACAGTTACAGTAGGCAGGACACACTGAATTCTTCCCTGCCTGCTTTGATGATGGATTCATTTCAGTATTTTAAGTATTTCCCACTGGATGTTTGTTGGACCTTGTATAGGTTCCCGTATGAAGAATGGTTTGAACAATCTAGGTTGTACTTACAGCAGGACATAAACTCAACACATCGTTAAATAATGTTTACATGTCATTAAAAATAAAAATAGCAGAAAAAAGTAGATGACTGATAAAAACATTCTTGCATATTTGAGACAGAATGAAGTTCACTACATATATATATATGAATATAACACATTCATGATACATACATTACACATGTGTTGGATATATACACATGATATATATATAATATTTTATATATATACACACAGATACTCAGAGAAGCATTTAATTGTGATTTATATTGCAAAATAAAATCAGCATTAAGGAAAACACTTCCTCCTAGGATTGCTTTATACAAATACAGGTTTAACCATCTATCTATGACCACCTGCAAGACCTGGTGAATCAATGGAAAAGAAGAGACATGAGGAAATGAAAGAGACAAGGTTTGCATCCCCGAAGAGCCAGAAGAAGCAGCCCCTTGGTGACCTGTCTTTGGCATGTTTTTATCAGCTCTCAGGGACCTCTGATTGTCCTTTCACTGGAGCCAGTCACTAGGTGAACAATTTACTGACTTCTCTCTTCTTTTCTCTTAAGGAAGGGAGCTTGGGCACAAGGGAGACATAAAAGCCTTTAGTTTTGGGTGAATAATAACAATAACAGAAATAAGTTACAAAGGCTCTTATTTTGTTTTGTTTATATTGTTTACATGTTACATTGGATATTCATGTGCACTCAATGTGACACTCATGATGCTAAGAATATTACACAGACATGAAGGACCTCGGTCTTTGTAGCACCTGTTAGGCACTGATGCTATTCCCTAGGATAGATAAGGAAGCTGAAACTAAATCACATTAAGTTATAAATTTGAGTTCTCTCAGGCAAAAGAGACAGAGCTGGCATTTAGACCCACATTTTTCTATGCCACAGCCCACATTCTTGGCTGCTACACTGTGCTGTTTAGGTGAAACTTTGTTCATATTACATTTCCCCGTTTTCTCTTACACTATTTATGATTTCATCACGTGGCCTATTCAGTTTTCCTGTGCCCTGAAGTTTAGTGCACAAACACTGGAACCATAAGGCCTGGGTGGAATCCCGGGTAGACCACATACTATTTGCGTGACCTTGGTGAGTTTCCTGTCTGTTTCCTCTTCTTTTAAAGGGGCATAATGGTGAGGATACCGACTGAAGAATCGATGAGCATATGTAGGTAACACTTAGAACAGTGCTGGCACATAATAAGCACTATCTGTTAGCTGTTCATTACTTTACATAAGGTAACATCTTTGGTGAAATGGCTAAACTTTTCCCCCTGGAAAGTAGCCATTATTAGGGGCTTCCTTAAAATAGTAACTTTTGCAAGTTCACAATGATTCCACAGCAGACATTTACAAACAGATGTGCATTCTGCTCTCTTTGATTTTGTTCATTATTGCAATAAAATATCGTATTAATATTAAAACTGTATGTATCATGATTTAATCTTTATTTTATAATTAATAAAGTACATTTTAATTTTTTTGCCATTTTAGTTATTCAGAATCTTTCATTTAAAAATCTCCAAAATTGGGAGTATTAAACTAGAACTTCGTATTTTTCTTATATTCTTGAAATGAAAGATTTGTCTAAGTGAAGTTCATCATTTGAAGTGCTTAAAGTCGAAGTTTAGAACTCATGGTGAGAAAACACCAAAGCAAATAACATTAATATATCACCATGCATTGCTCTTTATTTTAGAAATAAATTTAGATCTCTAAGGAGCTAATTTCAATATATTTAGAAATAACACACATAGCAAAATGAACAATATACATAAATTCAAACGGTATTATGTTTTACATATAAGTAGCAATCATTGATTACCATCTAGGATATGTGGTATAAGTTCATGTTCTAAATGAGAAAATCTCAAGCAAATCTGTGCCAACTCCACTCACGCTTAAATAGGTCTTTTAATTGAGAAGTTTCTAGTACTTCTGGTGATAGTCTTCAGCTTACGCCCTCATGTACAAAAGACCTACTTAACTGTCAAGCTGATTCATGAGCCCAGACAATTCTGGATTACGGCCTACGCGGACATGCTATTGCTTGGAACATATGAGAAGTCTTTAAATTGAAAATTTATCTGGATTTTCACAGAGATGCATTAAATCTATTTGATAAAAAGTCACTTTTTTGTGCAATTTTAACCCCGAGTTTAAGAAAAAAAATTGCAACGTTGGTTCTGCCTCTATTTTCCTACTCTGTGGAAAATACAGATGAATAGTTCCCTTCTGTGGCGGCCGTTTGTGCAGCAGAGGGCAGTGCAAAGTGAAGGGCTCTTCAACCTTCTCTCCATCAGACTCAACTCAATTTCAATTCTTTCTGCTTCACAAGTTCAAATTATAAATTGAAAATTTTATTTATGGAGCTTGTAATATCTATTTCTGTGATATGGTTTAGTTTTACTAACTGTGAGATTAAAAATAGAAACAAAGATTAGGCATTATTATATAAACATGATTTTTTACCCTTAGCAATATCTAGAAAACTCTAAAATATAAATATAACATTTCATAAATTATTTTCTTTGAAACATATTTGCAAACAATTTTCTATGTTTTTTAAATTACTCATCTGAGAAAGAAAAACAGCTTATTTTTATAATTGAAAATTTGTATTTTTATTCCTTTCCTAAGAACCAGGAATTACAGATATACAATCCAGGTGTCAAAATGTATACAACATTCTTGGGTTGTTTCGGCGTGGCTACCATGAATGAAATAGCCTTTTTCACTAGCAAGCATTAGATATTACATTAGACTGATTGGATAAGTCATTGAACCACTAAAAAATTGATAAAAATAGCATTACATCAGGTGTGAGAAGATTTCATAAGAAAAGCGAAGTGAGACCTAGAAACAAGACAAGGTATTAAACTATCTGCAGGCACACACACACACACACACACACACACACACACACACACACAGTTTCTCTGTCTACGGTAGCTGTAGCACAGAACCTTATGTCAAGTTTTAGTCCCATGAATAGTAATACTTTTTTATTTATGGGTTTGTGGGTAGGAAGAATCAAACCCCAGGACATTTATTCAGAATATTTATGAAGTGTGCTTAATAGCAAAATGCGGAATTCTTTCTTCTCAGTTCAAAACAGTTTGTACTTACACACTCAACACTTTAGTCAGACTCAACAAGAGTTTAAAGAAAATTAGTATAAACAAATTGAAATAGATCAGGACGTGTGGATTAGGGATTAGGGATCCCAACTGAGTTTGTCTGTTTATGACTCGGATCAAAGCACAACCAAGACAAAAAAAAAAAAATGACCTAATTTTAATGCCAGTGACCTCAGAATAACCAGCCCTGCAAAGTATCATTTTTCCACTTCCAGGATTTCTCTGGGGATTTCAAATAAAAATTGGTTCTTTTCCTCCTCAGAGAGGACATCTGGAGAGTTTATCAATGGATAGGAATTTGTCTCTCACTGTGAAGAGCCTGTGATGTCTCTTCACGCGCACCAGGGGAATCTGGGCCCTTGAGCAGCTGCAGGCATTGGCGCTTATTCAGCCCCAGCCCCAGACATCGGATCTGAAAGGGAAATTTATAGGCTGGGTGATGTGCACTGTGAGCTCACACTTTTACTAGACAAATTAGATCGGTTTCAATCCACGCAGCTGTAAACGATGTCCTACAGAGTTCCACCTGATCTTTCACAGCTTTTCATAAATCAGGACCTACTGGCCGCAGACCGCAGTCATTAAAAAGAAATCATGGAAATTACATGTTTGCTCAGGGGAAGTGAAAAATAATTTTCTTCCCTTTCTTTCTCCCTCTTTCTACTAAGACTTGTGAATTATTCTTTCATGGGTTTTCATATTGTTGCATTAGATAGTTACACATATATTTTCTTCCCACTGACTCCTGTTTCAGCTGTAAATAGGTTCATAAAAATTAGCACCAGATACTGGGGAAAAACCTCAATGAACAACTACCAATCCCCAAAATAACTTCTGGTAATAATCTTATTTCAATACTACCTTAAAATTCTGAATCACTAGTTATCCATTTCTGACTTAATAGACTCCTTTTGATTGACAAAGAGATTGACTCCTCAAATATCAAAAATAACACATACACATTTGTTGAATGAATAAGCATATGCCTATTATGTCTAGAAGGAGCTAATAATATTCAAGATGCATACTGTAACATTGTAATTATTTTTTATTTGTTGTGAATAGTTTCAGGAAATACATTAAATCTAAAGAGTAACTTTTTAAAGCCATAACACTAATAATTATAACTGATTTTGTTATCGTTTGAGAATAGTAAGTTTTTATTGCATTTTATAACTTTTTTTAAATTTCAAATGTTTCCCATTGTATTTTAGGGGAAAAATCCTTTATTTGTCAATTTAATATTGTTTGGTAATGACCTTGATCTTTATTTCTAAAATTAAAAATCCAGATATGATAAAATGAATTTAATTCATCATCATAAACTAAAAATAGTGTTGAATATACACAGTTCCCAACAGGAACCTAGTATAT